CTTTCATTTACACTTTTCATTTTTTTTTCTTGAATAAATGGTAATGTGCCAATTCAGCTATAGTTAGGACATCAACTGAATAACATGGAGTGTAATCCTGTCCTCACCCAAGTAAAAACATCAGATTTTTATTTCTTCTGATCCAGAGAAATACTGTTCCCGATGTCCATGTGAAAATCACATGAGAAGGGATGGGACCCATCTGGCTGTATGGGTAGGCTATTTGATTATTTCGCTGTCCAGACAGAGCAAGTGGTGCTTAAAGCCTTTCTTTCTTTGATTTCATTACTGGGGCTCTCCAGAGTCATCTTACTTTTTTTCTCTTCTAGTAGACTGATTTATCAAAAGTTAAAGCTCTCTTTAATTTGTCGCAGTGAAGACTACAGATTTCCATTTGGGAAGTTAGGAACAAGTGACTTCTAACATGTTACTGTCATAGGAACAAATCTTCCATGAATTTGTAACATTTTAAAATGAAAATATTTTTATTTTTGGTCCCTCCTGCATTTTGTGGCAGTGAGTCCCACTGTTCATTTGCGTTGCTACCTTCATTTCTCTATTTTAAAGTTTCCTTTGGATAGTTCTTGTTATGAGAAAAAATGTACAGTCACCCCTTAGTCATTTTCTCCAGGTCATTTATGAAGTTATAGAACGCTACCGCCCCCAAGAAAAGTCTCTTTCCTAGTCCAACGAGACATAATATATTTAATTTCTCCATGTAGAGAAGTTTTTATGACTCTTTGATCACATTTTTTTCCATTTCTGTTTTCCACCAGACAGTGTTGTTTTGGAAATAGAAGATACAGAACGGTCTGTAGGAACAGTATGGATTTATAAGGTGGGATAACAATATTGTCTCCGTTATTCCTTATTCCTTTCCTAGTAACTCCTAATATAGTTTTTTTTTTTTTTTTCTTTTGACTATTTTGAAATCAGTGACAGCTGAGATTTCCTTCTCGATTGCTAGGAACTACAGTATGTAAATGTAAATTGTTTTCCTGCATTCTTTCCCCCTGTATATTTTCAATGCCCAACTCCCATCTGCTGGTGTGTCACTCAGCAGCCAGTCGCTCTGAGATTCTTCCCCAACTCCTTGCACTTTGTTTTAGTTTTTACCTCATGATTCTTGGCAATGTCAGACTGTTTTGCCATTTCTCTCTAGCTTCCTTTCTAGATCATTCACGGATACGCCGAGCAACACTGGTCCCAGATGGATTCCTGTGGCAGTGTACCGGCAATGCCCTCTGTTGTGAAATGCTTTTATTTCTTCTTTCCTACCTGTTACCAGCTACAGATCCACGTGAGGATTTCCCCTTTAATCCCAGGACCACTTAAGGTCTTTCAGGTCCATTTGTGAAGAACCTTGCTAAAGCTGCTTTGCATTATTTGATGCAGACAGGTGACATCCATTTAGAATGTAAGTGTTCACACTGGAACCTTACTGACAAGCTATTGAGAATTTCATTTTAAGTAGATAGTCCATCGGGCTATTAGCATAGTAATTAAAAATAATAATAAATCTAGGAATTTGGTATACACAATTAAGAGAAGAAATTACATTTTTATACTGGTTGTTACAAGAGTTTACCAAGAAATTGATCAGTCAAGGAAATGTAGCAAAAGAAAACAGGAAAGCCAGAAGATAGTAGATAAAGATAATAAGGAAAACAAAACAAAACACCAGCAAGCCTAGCAGAGAACAGTATGGTGCTATGATTTGGTTAATTGCTCAGCCCTCACGTCAAGGATGGCAGGATACCCCTGCTGCCATACAGGGTGCCCAAAGGCAACCCCATCTGCTTGGGAGCCGCTGTGATCCTGCAGCCATTCGCTACTGCAAGCAATGCCATCACCTGCTCATTCTTCTCTTCCCCAGGAAAACTTGTGCCTCCTTCTCAGTCACCATTACGTTTCCCGCGTGCAGTATTTTGTAGACAAATAGCCCAGCTGGTATAACCCACAGCGCTTTTTCTGTGGTGTTTTTCTTTCAAAATAGGAATAGTTACTTATTTATGGTACACTATGAATTTTAAAAGAGCTCCGTTTCTGGTACATCTTTATTTTTGGAAAACATCAATGGTCTTACATTTCTCATTTGAGAAGAAATTTTGGTCTTGGTCAGAAAGGTAAAAGGACAGTGTTTCTTCTTCATAGGTAGTTTATAAAAAGAAGTTCACAGTCACTGCCAGTGCAGTGATGCAATTATATTCTTCTCTTATAACGTTCATCTTCTGTAACCAGCGAAGCAGAAATTCTTTGCATATTCAAAGCGTTGCTTCAAGTTGAAAGCAAACTGGGTGTTGAGAAGTCAACACACAAATTGATTGAATCTTTGCACATTGAAAACATCTGGCTTCAAAAAGAGACAACAGAGAACCACTTTATTAATAAGAATTGTTTATTTTTGAAGTCTCTGTCATTGTATTGGAATGGCAGGCTGTCACAACATGCTATCATTCTATAATTAATAAAGATTTCCGCAAGAGCAGCCCTTCTTCGGAGTGGAATACACAAAAACATTTTTTCTCAGGTAGGGTTGAGAAAAGGAGTGAAAAAAATGCAAGGCTTCTGTTTCTTAGTCTGTAATGAAGGAGCTTAAGTTTAAAGTGAAAGACCAGCATTTACAAACTATCAACAAACAGAAACATGATCGTTGTTTTAAGATTACTTTCAAAATATTTTGGCTAAAATTTCTCAGAGCCCAGAGTGTACTGGGAACATAAAATGCACTATGTGATACGTAAACTGGCAGAAATTGGACATTTCTCATACTCCACTGGAATTTAACATGGTCCAGTATCTGGTTTATGATGTAGAATTTGTATTTTGAATCCGCTCCATTGATTCCAACAAGCAAAATCACTCACAGAGCTTACTCCCCGCGCTCAAACAATCACTTTTTCAGGCACAGTCTTGCTGAACATGTAATACAGAACTGCATAACCTTGAGATAAAGTAAATCCGTGATTTTTACTCGGTGACAGCATGCAAGCAAGAAAAAGGCCTCACAGTGGCCCTGGGCTAGGAGCTTACATAGGGAAAGTTACTTCAGAGCAGCTTGCACATGGTAACTTTCTGTGCTTATGAGCCTTGAGCTAGAGAATCTACAAAATGAAAGTAGAGAGGGAATTAGCAAGGTAAAACATAAACAACTCTAGCAACTTAAGTTTGTGTTCCTTAGGAAACTATGAAAATTATTTAAGTCCCAAAGAGAATACTAATGGATAGAAAATAATAGCTCTATACCTTTCAAAATACAAAACATAAAGCTTAGTTTTATACCCTTCATCTTTTCATTCTGCACTAAATGTGCTCAGACAGAAAAAGAAAGGCAGCTGATAAAATCGGTGCTGTGATAACTATACAGAAAAGATCAAATCAAAACTGCACAGGCAGTGGTAAACCTGGCAATTTCTCAATGAGGATTTTTAACATTCTGTGATGTAGCTCAATGGTATTCATGGGAGAAAGAAAAAAGTTCACCTTTATCTCAACTAGATTTCTTCCTAGCAAGCTAAAAACATTTGCTACAAAGAGTGCAGCAAACATGGAGATAATAAAGCTCTACTTAAAAAAAAAAATAATAATAAAAATAATAAAAACGCCTTAAGGTGGAGATCAATGTAGTAGAAAAATTTCATAAAAATTCTTATGACATATTTGATTTTGACTGAGGCAGAACTCAAATGAAAGCTTTTATATTTCTTACAACATTACATGCTAGTAAACAGTAGAAGCACTCAGATTTTCTGAAGCTGAAAAAGGCATACTTTAAAAGCCATGCCAGCATTAAGGAAACTAGCAAGTCCTTCAAGAACAACTAATAAAAAATACCCAGTAGTTCAAGTTTCCACACAACTCCTATCATCCTTTCCATTTTGCACTGTACTCAAGAGCTGGTACGTGTAGTCTTGTTTCAAAGGGGAACAGTCAGTGTGTAGGTTCATACACGTGCCTGTATGAGGCTGTTAACTAATTTTATTCAGGCTTGGTTGAGGGGTGCAAATCAGAGTTACATTTCTGTAAGTTTCAGGAAAATAAGATTGTGCAGTGTTAGCTCAGCCTGTCAAGACAACAAGGAATATCTTAGCTACAAGAAAAAGCTTCGGAGGGAGTTTATGTCTAACCCAAAGAGATCTGTTTATATTTTAAAGCTTTTCCTGCAGTTGAGAGATTTGTATGGACTCTTCTCTGGTGGATTAGTACTGAAAAGCACCTTTATGTAGAGGTGGTTTCCTTTAGCTTGGCTGACAGGACTGTGAACCACTGTCCCACTGCCTGACAGGTACTTGTGGAGCTACCTAGGTGTTTGTGGGGGAGAAGGAGGGGACCTGTCCTGTTGGAAAACGTGTGGAGGAGCAGTCAAACCTCAGCCTCGGTAGGCCAAGGGCAGGGAGTATTGTATGGCCAAGTTCTTCAAGGATTTCTCTGGTGCAGGGGAGACCCGCACTCCCGCCCTGCTTCTTCCCCCCTTCGCCAGCGCTGCCCAAACACCCAGGCTGTCGTTTTGGCTCGCTGCTTTTGCAAGAAGCCCTGACAGGAAGTCAAGTGCTTCCTGAAGCCGAGCTCCGGCGTTGCCGTGACCTTTCTGAAAGCCTCCTCCCGGAGGGGAGGCAGGAGGAGCCGGCACAGCCTGGGGTTTCGGCCCCATCCCTCCATCCATCGCCTCAGCCCGGCTCCCTTCGTTCACAGCGGGCTGGCTCCCAGCTCGCTCCACCTGCTCGGCCCCACCAGACGGGGCTGGGAGGGGAGAAGCGGGGCTTTTAGTTGCCGGAAACAACGAATAAAATTTTAAAAATAAATAAATAAATCCTAAAAGCTCCCAAACCCCGCAAAGCCACAGCCCAGGTGCGGCGCTACGGGGCTGGCGGGGGGAGCCTCGCCCAGCCCCGAGGGCGATGCAAGCCCGGGCGGTGCGTGCGGGGGGAGGAAGAGGAGGAGGAGGAGAAGAAGGAGGAGGAGGAGGAGAAGGAGGAGAAAGAGGAGGAGGAGGAGGAGGAGGGTCAATGGGAGGAGGGATGAGGAAGCCGCTGTTGCATCCGTGACGGGCGCCTGAGGAGCCGGCGCTTGGGACAGCCCCTTTGCTGCTGGCTCGGGGGGAGGGAGAGGAGGAGGAGGAGGAGGAGGAAGAAAAAGGAGGAAGGAGGAGGAGTGAGCAAGCGCGGCCATGAGCTCAGCCCCGGCCCCCGGCGCCGCCTGAGGAGCCCCGGCCCCCTCCCCGAGGCCTCCGCCGCCGCCATGGCCCACTCCCCGGTGCAGGCGGGCCTGCCGGGCATGCAGGTGAAGGGCGGGCGGGGGCCGAAATGGCGGCGTGTGGGGTGTTTGGGGTCTATGGGGTGTGAGTGGGGGGTGTAGGGTCGCGACACCCCCGGGAACAAGGCGTGCTGTGCCGCCAGCGAGCTCTGTGCCTGCTGGGTCCCTCCCTTCGGAGCCGCCGCTTTGCTGGGAGCACGCAGGGGGATGCGTCTCGTTGCCTTTTTTTGCCTCTTTTTTAAAAAAAATCACCCCCCCTCCAGCCACTGAGTAGTGCTCCCTGGTGTTTCAATCCGCGAGGCTCGGCTTTCCAGCCCGCTGATGCCAACAGAGGGGAAAGCAGGGCCCGAAAATGTTGACCTTCAGCCCATGCTGCAGTGGTCATCTGTAGGACTGGCTGGGTGGTGGTGGTGCTGGGTGGGTGGCTGGGGGCTGTGCTTGGCCCTCAGGGCCTCACCTGATGGAGTTGGCTGGGTTTGTGCAGCAGCGAGGTATATATATACGTCTACGTGTATATATTTAAACAACCAGTGTGGTTTTGTGGTGGTTGAGCTGCTTGCAAAACGCAAGCTGCTGGCAGAAAAGCCATAAGGGCATCAGTGCCTGCGTGCTCTTCTGAGCGTTCCCACATCGTGTTAGGTGCTCGCCTGCCCCGACATCCAAAAGGAAAACTTAGGAGTGGGAGGTAAAGGTGTTTGGCATCCTGGACCGAAAGGTTTTGTGCTTCGTTTGGTGTAAGTATTGGTTTACTTGGGGTTGCGTGCTTTTTTTTTTTTTTGCAAAGCAGATTCTGCCTCGTGAATCTCAGGTCTTTGCATAACCTGAGGCTTTGAATTTAAAATGTTATATTCATAGGCATGGCCTGAGTTGTATGCTCAGGCTGGCACTGGATGCCAAACCGAGGATGTAGGCCCTCGCCCTGAACCGATTGCTCTGCCACTCGGTAGGTACTGCTGCGGAGTGCTCGAGTTCACCTTCCAAATGCGAGCCCCTTGCTGATTGCTGAGACACATGGAAGTAATGTTTTCCTCCTTTACGAAGGGCTGGATTCATGTTCCATTTTCTGGTACTTATTTTGAAACAGAACCGGTATTTTAGGCTGAGAAAAGACAGATCTGGAGTGGCTGGGAAGTAAGAGAATGAGTTACTCCAGCAATACGCATGTACTACCCATATGTGGCATTTCATAATCGAAGGACCCATGTTTTTATTATTATTGCCTGGTTTAATTTGTTATTTAGTTTGTAATACCATGAGCTCTACTAAATCTGTAAGGCTGTCAGGATTTTTTTGTTAGTGCGTGTAATTTGGGGTTTTACTGCAATCTCTTTATTTAGGACAGTGCTATTATTCTCATGAATTTTAATGTATTATTATTAGAGTTTCGTGACTGTTTGGGAACTTCACTGTGTCCTTTTCACACCGTTGTTAAAGACCAAACGAAGACAGGTAGAAGCCTAAAATCCATGAGCAATACAGAAGCTGCTTGCTAATTTTCTGCCCCCACTTCAAGATGCCTAGATCCATTTCCATTCTGTCAGAGTATACTGCAATCTTATAGTGGTCTCTTTTTAGCACATGATTCTTTTTGGCTCTATTTGCAGATAAATGTTGAAATATTAAGGTACATACTATGCGTGGCAGCTGCTTAAATAAGACAAAGTTTATGGTTTGTGGCTTCGGTAGAAGAGAGAAATAGAGCTCGGTTCTCCGAGGTATAATTAAATTGTCCAAATCATGGGACTGTGTTTTCTCTTTCTGTAGTGTGATCCTTTCTCCCCACCTACCAGCTTCTGCAACAAATGGTGTAAACAATGTCAGTGAGAAAGTTAGGCAGCTTTCTCTTGTATCCTTCGCTGTGCTTGTCCAAGAGACCAATCCGTATCCTACTGTGAACAAGAGGAACTTCCTGACCCCAGAAACTCACGTGCAGGGGTAGCGCTTTGTTACACCGTTTGGTGTGAGCAGAGGAGTGTGTAAGCAGAGCAGAGGAACGCAGGATTAATGTATTTCTCTCCAAACAACATATCTGATTGATGGTTGAAGAGTGATGCATGAAAAGTGAGTGGGTAGAGAGTAAGCCAAAGGAATGAGAAGCTGTGGAGGAAATGTGGGATGGTGCTGGAAGGCTGTCAAATCCAAGATTCACTGTCTGCTGCGACGCGGGCATGTTCTAACCAGAATAGAAACAGAGCTGGGTTTTGACCTAATTTTCAATGTGTGCAAATAAGTTTGGACTCGATGCTTGTACTGCCCTTAGTTTAAGGGCTCTGTGCCGATAAGCGCTTGAGTGTGTGGCACGCAGGGGCATCACCACTAAACCGTCAGAAAGTCTTCTTCATCCTCTCTGCTTTACACAGCTGACTTAAGAAAAATGCTTGCTTGTCTGTACCGTGTGATATTTTCGCATGGCTGGCTCAGAAAAAGCGTGTGTGACCTGTAAAAGGGACTTTCAGACCAGACCGGCCTGCGCTTTAAGGCTGTGGTAAGCTTCTAGAGTTTCTTTATGAAACCACCTAAAATAACAAAATACCGTGTTCATAAATCAGTGGTATGGGTGCTTGGTGGGCTGTAATGTACTTTGAAGCCTGTTACGAGTGCCTTGAACCAGAAAGCTGAGGATATGTAGGCTTGCAGAGAGAAGCTCAAGGGCTGAAGCTGCAGAACACGGTGCTGCAGTACATCAACCTGTCAGATATCTGGCAGCCAGCAGTTTTAATGTAATCTTTAGCAATAAAATGCTAAAATTAATAGTTATTAAACCTCTTTCTCCTCTCTTCCCACACTTAAAAAGGTTTTGGGGTTAAGCTATGTCTGATTTGTTGCTGTTTTCCTTTGTTTCTGAAGTTTGAGAACTAGAAAAGCAGTTGGGTTTTTTTTTTTTAACCTCATCTCTTTGTGTAACTCTGACTATGAAGTTCCTTTAAAATGAACCATACATTATGGTTTTAACAAGAAGAATACTTTTGGGAACTCTTGCTGAGGAAAGATAAGTGGCTTCATCAACGTCAGATCCTGGAGAAGTGAGAGAAGCCCATAGGTGGTGTGTGCCTTTTGGGCACTTTGATGTGTTCAGCCAGTCCAGTGCAGCAGCTGGAGTGGCTCTAGGTGTGATACTTGTCTGTGCTTCTGCAATACAGGTGAGAAAGAGTTTCACATGAATAAGAGCTCCAAATTAATCTACATGACATAATGGACATGGATACTGATGAACTGCAGAATTACTGATAAGAAATAATTATTTTGTGTCATCTTTCCTATTTCAGTTTCTTAAAGGAAAAAAAAACAGCCAAAACAAAAAACTTTTTTTTTTATTGCCCTGAAATGCTCTGAACTTTTTTTTTTTTCCAGAAAAAACATTTTGTGAGAAGATTGGTTTGTATTTTTAGGTGTGCCCGTATGCCACATTCATAAAATTCCGAATGTGCTTTTAAAATTGCATCATCTTGAAGCCACAGCCTCTTGTGTATGATGCAACTTTTCTTTATCTTCCTCCCTTTCAGGTTTTTGGTAATAATAAAAGTGCTTAGTATACCATAAAAAAAAAAAAGTCATTTTTCATTCTCAGTACAAGAACTGCTGGTTCTTTATCCAAAATCTAAGTTAAAATAAAATAAAATCACACCACCTTGCTGCAAGAAACCCTGGTTAAAACTTTTAGATTTCGGTAAGAACTTGACAAATGAATAGAAATGAAGGGCTGCTAAGTGTAAAGGCACCACTTCTGACTCAGTGAGTGTCTGAACTGTAAATTTGCTGGAGACTGGAAGAGTGTTTTGGAAAATGCTGATGTTTACTTGTGTGTTCTTGCACTCATCCCAGAATGTTCGCTCTCAGCTGCTGCAGGAGAAAGTGTTGGGGCCTCCAGGATGCTGCGTTCTGATCCAGCATGGCTCTCCTTGTACTCTGACACATCATGCACATTACTGTCTTCCCTATTATAATTCATTCTCCTTTTACAATAAACTGTTGTATCTGTCTTGTATGTGAGCTCTGTGTTTGGTAACCACAAAGCGTTGGGCTTTGAAGGCTCTGAAAAGGCTGTGCAGCCTCCGCTGCCCTGTGTCTGCAGCATGTATATGGGAGATTACTTTTCCCCAATTTCAGTTTTTTGAAGGTTTGTGCTCACTGCTCTTGTCTAAGTGATAGTTTGATAGAGTAACCTGCAGCAGTTCATTATTTGAAAGATCCTTGGACCATTGTGGTCACGGCTAACCTGTTGTGAAATACCCAGGGGACAGATGTCTGGGATTCAGTGGTGTATTTTAAGCTTGGTCCTTCAGCACGAGGACAGAAGGGTTTTCATTTTGCAGGAACAGAGTTGGCGTCCTCTGGCTTTTTAGGTCAAATGCTGCATCAAGGCTACGCAACAGTTGTCTGGAGTTTTTCTAGACAAGTCAACTCTTACACCAACAGTGGAGCTATCATACTGAGAAGACGTGTAGCAGCTTCTAGTGAACGTCTGCCTACTGAGCTCTCTTCTCCTACACCCCCGAAATCTTGCCATTAAACATAAGTGGAGGAGTGAGAGCTGGTTTCCTTTGGACATGCTGTGGATGACTTCTTGGGGAAGCTTCCTAGGAGGTCATCGTTGCAGGGTGAAGCTTCAGTTCGGGTTTTATTAAACTGTGGTACAGTTAAAATGACAGCAGGTGAACTTACTGATTTTCTCATTTTCTACAGTTCTTTGATCTTCTTTTCTTGTGGCCTTTGGGTCTGAGGTACTTGATGCAGTCAGCCCCAAAAGTGACAGATTCCCTCACAAAGAGCTGAAGGACTGAGGACGACGGCTCCTGCAATAAGGATTGACAAGAGTGAATCCTTACTTGCCTGAATCTGTTACCTTGCTTCAGCCCTTCTGTGGTTTTGGAGTGATCCATTTTAGATGGGATTTCCAGATATCTATTCAATTTTAAATTTTTATTTAAAGGCAGGGTGGGGTGTTTATACAGAGGTAGAGGAAGTAAGGAGAGGTGCTCTGATTTCCAAAGGCCGAGCTTACAAAATCTGGTTTCGCATCTCTGCTCTGTTATCAGTCACATCCATGATGGCTCGATGCCCTTATCAGTTACCACATTCACCCTTTTATCCTTTTACTGTCTCAACGCCAGTGTCAGCAGCCTCTGAACAGGAAAAGCACATTCCCATCAGGTGGCCTTCCAGAACAAGTAAATAGCTCCAGCATGGGTCCCCCACGGGTGGGGGCAGCTCCCCCCAAACCCCTGCTCCTGCGTGGGCTCCTCTCCACGGGCTGCAGCTCCGGCCCGGGGCCTGCTCCTGCGGGGCCTCTCCATGGGCCGCAGCCTCCTCCAGGCCACATCCACCTGCTCCACCGGGGGCTCCTCCACCCATGGGGGGGCTGCAGCGTGGAGATCTGCTCCATGTGGGACCCATGGGCTGCAGGGGGACAGCCTGCTCCACCAAGGGCCTCTCCCTGCACAGCCCGCAGGGGAACTGCTGCTGCCTGCCTGCAGCACCTCCTGCCCTCCTGCTGCACTCACCTGGGGGGCTGCAAGGCTGTTCCTCACTCCTCTCACTCCCCCAGCTTCTGTGTGGTGCAGTGTTTTTTTCCCTGTCTTAAATATGCTCTCACAGAGGCACAAACAACATCACTGACTGGCTCAGCTCTGGTCAGCAGTGGGGCCCTTACCAAACATGGGGCAGCTTCTAGATCCTTCTCACAGAAGCCACCCCTTTGGACCCCTGCTACCAAAACCTTGCCACGTAAACCCACTGCAACTGGGAAACACCACTTCATTTACTGAATTTGGGGTGTGGAGTGAGAAATTTTTATCAAGAGTAAATTTCTTCTTCATGTAAAAGGAAATGATTCTGTGACCTGATACTCCATGACCAGTCCCAGAACAATTTTCTGCTTGGGTTTCTTAATTCATTATTAAAAACTTACGTTTTGTTTTTGACTGTAAAAGTAGAAATTTCATTTTGACAAAATTAGGCACCCTTATTGGGTTGCATGCCTGATTGAGCTTTGCATCATGATTGGTACAGGGTGACGATGGTGTTCCTAAATTAACTGCTACCACTAAAACCTATTTATTTTTTCCTACCATGTCCCTCCCTGCCGTGTCTCCTGAAATCAAACTATTGTATATCTTCAGGATGTCTAGTTGCAGAGTCAGATAAACGTAGTTTTCTTCTGAAGAGGTGTTTTGAATAGACTATATATATATATTTTTTTTCTTTTTCTGTGATTTCTTTCCTAAGCCAACAAATACTTTGTTTATTGAAAGTATTTGTGTGTGGATCATTGCCTCTTGGTGGACAAGATCAGATCTGAGAGTAATAAATCTTGAGGTTGCAGAGGCTTCAGGCTGTTGCGTGTGTTCATTCTGTATTAATATAATGCTGTAGAAAGTCAGCCTTGAATCAGGAATATTCTGGGAGTGCTTGTACTCGTATTCTCTTCCAAGTTGTGCTATTAGGCACCTATTAAGAGACATTTGGGGTGTCTTGTCAGATGATAGAATAGGTGCATGTCTCCCGTCAAATTATGGGATTACTGTAGATCCTAAAACTCATTCTTTCTTCTTTTGCTCAATTAGTATTAATGCAACATAAGTTTCCAAGCTTGTATTACTGAGATTTATTCAGCCATGGGTCACAATGCTGGGAATTTCCACCCGTGCCACCACTTTCTGGCATGAAACAATAGCAGGGCCTGCGAGGCGTGATGCTCGCAGTGTCTGTGGGTGATTGATCTGAGCAAGTGCAGACAAGGGAGAGGCATTGTTATAAAGCTCTTCTTCGAGGCTCTTCCTTAGCTGTCTTTCACTCGGTGTCTGAAAGGCGTTCTGGATGTCAGCGCTGTGTCTGCTGGTGCTATCTGCTGTTTTCATTGCGTGCTGAAGGCACGGGGAGATTTCTTCAGCTGCAGCAATCTACTTTTAAATAGCGTGATGGATGGGAGGGAGGAGCACAGCTTCTGAAAGCTCCTAGCTATGGTATTAAAATGCTACGTTATTAAAAATGCAGGATGAGCTTGAGAAACTAGTTAAATTAGAATTCATGTTTATTTAAAATGTATTCTTTCTGAATGCTTGTAAAAAACAAAAAACAAAAAACCAAACAGGTTATGATTAGGCAACTGTTAATTTTGGCATTGAACTCCTAAGGATGTACATTAAGTTGCTTTCTGAATGAAGGATATCATGACATTAAGGCATGACTTTTTTTCAGGGGACACTGAACCCAGAAGATGGTACGAGTTCACTGGGAATTTGGAAGCATGTCTTGGAGATCCATCTTATTGATAAAGAACTAAAAGTTTCGTATGCTGAATCCCAGATAAATGCAGTTTCCTTGAAAGTAGGTGGAAAGGGGGTTGCACAGGGGATGAAGAATACTGTTATGATAGGCAACTCCCCCCCTAGCCCCGCTTAAAATCTCTTCCAATCTGATTAGAAAACAGTTTATAAGGGAGTTGTACTGGGAAACAGCTTTATTCGTAAGGCCACTGTGATGCATGCTGTGTTTGTCTGCATTTCTGTTCAACAACCCAAGTGTTTGAGAGATGCAAGGTTTTAGAGCACCCCTGCCCCCCACCCTTTGGTTATAACCCACTGAAGTTTCATGGCAGAGTTTATGGCATCCTGCCCCCGTCTTATTGCAGTTTCCCACCAACTACAGGAAATGATCTTGTGTTTTATATCAGCTATTCATATATACGATATGCGTGTATATATCATGGAAAGCAAAAACTTAGCAGCTTCTGAGAAAGGTAAAATGCTGTGTAGCAAAACTCAAGGCCTCTCTTTCCTGTAAGCAGTTGTTCCTGATACTGTGAAACCATTTAAGCATACAATTTTGTTTTGTTGTGGATTTTTTCCCTTTATTTCTATTTTTATTTTAATATATAATTATTTTGTTGTGGATTTTTAGCTTGTCTTTGAAGTTCTGACTTGGATGTGGATAATTTAACAGTGTTATCAGCAGAATGGGGTCAGGTTGTAGGCCCATCTGGTCCAGTGCTTTGGCTTTGGTGGTGGTTAGGAATAGATGTCTAAGAAAAAAAGTGTAAGAACAGGGTAACTTGCAATACTTCCATGGCATACTTCCACAATTTTACTGCTCAAGGATTTGCAGAGCCAGAAGTGATTATGTGGATGGATTTCTTTATGTTCACTTTTATTTTATTCCATTAGTTTCTCCAGTCCTTAATGATTTTGTAGGGTTCGCTGTGTGCAACACTGCATTACAGTGCGTATCCAGGTTTCTCTGCACACGTGTGAGCAAGGTTCAAACCATGTTATCTTTATCTCCAAGCATGGAAGCAGACAGCAGTAATCACCAGCAGTCACAAACCAGTTCACCATGGGGTATTTCATATTCACCAGAAATCTCTAAACTTGTTTAGGTGATGGTATTTTGGGCTTGATAGGGAGAGAGGATTGGACTGATTAATTGGAAATTTCGTAAAATTAAAAGCATAGGAAAGAGGTGTTGAAAGGCAATTGTCTGCTATAAAAGCAGGCATTGAGAAACCAGAGATCTGCAATCAGTTATCCAGATAATTGGAGAACTCGAACATGGGGATGGCTTGGAATTACTGCAGGTTAAAGAAAAAAGTATATAATAATAATAACTGAATGAATAGGCTTTCATAAAAGGAGATGAGAAATAAGAACTGGGATGCGATACAGAAAGGGACTCCTGTTAAAGCTATGGCTTGGGTCAGAATGGTTATGAATAAAGTTAGACGTGTATACTTGATCTAACTAACTTGGATTTCAGTAACATTTTCTGTTGAGCTACAGGCGTGGTAGAATTAGAGATACATCTTACAATGCAGCTGGTTTTATGTATGTAGTGCTGGCTTTGAGGGGAGGACTGGATAGGTGATGGGGATGATGCTGCTGATTACCAAGGTTGTTCTTGACTGTTGGTGATGAAGATGTGGCCTTGGCAATGAAAAAAAAAAGGGGGGGAAAAATTAGGCTAGTACTGAAGATCTGTGTGACCTTCAGGATTTGAACTGCTGAACAAACCAGCATGAAGTGCAGGGTGTCAGAAGTGTGAATTACTCCAAAGACCCTCTGCAAGAGGCTGGGTGCTGTGGGTTGGAAATGCAGGGGGCTGGGGAGAAGCGAGTTTGAACCAGGAGGCCAGGCTGAACAAATCTGATCTCGGAGTATTTTGGGACTCTCTTTATTCGGTAGGAGTGGGCGATGCTGATTAGTGAGCAGAGTGCCCGGAAGAGTTCACCTTAAGTGCAAGATATTTTTCTGGCTAATTAAGGTCAGAAGTAATGAATCCGACGTGGAGCAAGTACAGAGAGGTTACTGTAATTACGGTGAGAACGACGGCGCTGCTTGTGATGAGAAATGAAGGGCTTTCTTCTGCGTGGTTAAACAAGCCAGAGGCTGAGAAGGGGTGGTTGTGGTCGGTGTGAGAAGTGTGAGAAGCCATCCGAACAGAAACCAAACCACCACTAACCATGCTTGTAATATTAGTAGGAAAATGCCATAAGCTCAGCGAAAGCCTGCAAAGAGTCAGCAAGAGAGTAGTGACAGGACCTATGGAAAGCATTTTTCTCTATAATCAGTTGCATAGAGAGAATATTTATAAAGCCATTTGAATATTTTGCCTCTGTTGGAAGGCTCTGCAGAAACAAAACAAAAGTTGGCGAGAATCCTTTCCAGATGTTATCTCGGAAAAATGAATGGGAATTGGCCGCTCATGTAATTGCAAATTCAAGCAGCTCGTTATGTATCTGGAGGCCTGATCTGGCCATTTCTGAAATAGAGCAGATCATTAAGGAGAGCCCGACTGGTAGTTTTCCATAAACGCAGGCTGCCAGCAGCTTAAGGCTCTCGCTTCAAACACCTAGTCTCCTGGGAAGAAAATTTGGACCTTCTCACACGGCAAGAGAGCTTCTTTTTGAACAGCTCCTACCTCCTGGGGCTCCGAACAAAGTTCAGGAGTGGTAACTTTTAAAACTAAAAAATGCGTTTACAAAAGCTCTGATTTTTGGAAGGTATGTACATACTCTTTCCTATTTATATATACTTATTTATATACATTCCTTCCTATATATATATTTATTACTACATATATATAGTAATAAATGTTTTCACAAGGAGCTTGGAGAAGGATCTTACTGTAATACAATACTGTTTACATGGTATTAATACCAGATATTATCAAACCATTCATTTTCCAAGATGGCCATAAGATTTTGATCATAAAAAGCTCAGACAGGACCAGTTCTTCCCAACTCCTCACAACTTCCAAACGCAATGCCTGAAGAAATGAGTGGCTTTATCTCTGAACTCAGACACAACTATCTGGTCCTCAAAACACCTAATTGAGCTGTGAAACTTGTGTGGCTCATAGCTTCGGGCAAACTAAAACGTCTTCTGGATGATCTGCCTCTTGGGGCTGCAAGGTTTCATGATGTAACCTTTGAGATAGGAGAGCAGAAATAGAAGTATAGGTGGGAGATGCTTGATAAGCTCAACTTAATTGTTGAAGGGAAAGCGTTGGCTCAGCACTTGTCTGTAGGCATTTAGAGATTTATGCTAAGTTACCCGTTTATGCTTTTGCAGAGTTTGTCTAAGTAGTATAAATTGTTCAGCTTAATGCTTATTTAGACATGACTGTGTTTGTCTAGTAAGAGCCTTTTCCTATACCAATACTACATTTCCACTTTGGTTAACATGAACCTCATCCTTTTAAGAACAACAGCAAGCCTTTTCAGGTGGCTCTTTCTTAAGTGGAAGAGTCTAAGTAATGCCACTCGATTTTCCTGCACATCATGACTGTTCCCTTTAGGTACGATTTATCCAGTGTATTTGTAACCTGGGTATTTTTAGTAGCTATAAGGACTCCTTGCTGGTAGATGAAGAAGGCACACGGTGGAACTCAGCATCGGTGCAGTAGAAGTGCGAAGCTGGAGAGCAGCTGTAGCTAACCATACTTGATGGTGGAGAAAAACCAGCTGTGGCAGAACGGTTCACATAGGTCTTGTGTTCTTTTTTGGGGTGACGTGCTTAGGTAGGTGCTGGTAGTCCTCACACAACTCGCTTTGAGATAGAATGTGTGTTAGGAGTGAATGAGTTCATTCAGCTGAGAGAAGAATAAAGTAAATCCTGCTCCAGGAAAAACTTGGGGTCAAGAATAAGGAGTTGAGAATAAGGATTCTTGGGGTCAAAAATAAGGAGGAATTATGGCAGTTTGTGCAGGTGATCCTTAGTAGGAGAAAGTTGAAGAGAATTGCTTGCCACAACAACCAAGGAAATAGTCGGTGCATCGAAGAGTGGGAACAGAATCCTTACAGGATGAAATGTGTGAAAATCTCAGAGGAATAGGTCCCTGCATCCTGGGAAGGAAGCAGTTTAAAGAGGAAGGGACAGCAGAAAGGATTACTTTCATTGGTAATGATATTTGACCGACCTTAGTTTTAATAGAAACCAAATCTTTGTAAGGATTTTTCATTCTCAGTGTAGCTTATCTCAATTTCTTTTTCTTGGGCAATAATACCATTTTCTCATGCCAGATAGGGTAAATCCCTGTCACAGGGACTGTGATAAATTTGTACTTTATATACAGGGAAGCATAAATATTGCAATATGTGCATATAAAAGGTGTAGAAAGAACACATTAATTATGGAGATGGAAAAAAAAGAGTACCTGGATAAATTGGAACATGTAGAATTTTTAAAGTGCTTGCTGCCTTTAAAAAGTCATCACATTTCATTTTAGTGTTACAAATGCTTAGTAATTTTTCTCTTATTTTTTAACAGACTCTGAAGGCAGATCCGGAAGAACTGTTTACAAAACTGGAGAAAATTGGTAAGGGCTCTTTTGGTGAAGTTTTCAAAGGAATTGACAATCGGACTCAGAAAGTGGTTGCTATAAAAATTATTGATCTAGAAGAAGCAGAAGACGAAATAGAAGACATCCAACAAGAGATCACAGTGCTGAGTCAATGTGACAGTCCATATGTAACTAAATATTACGGATCCTATTTAAAGGTAAGATGCTCACAGTTGATGGTGTTTTGATTTTACCAGTAATTCTTTTCCAAGTTCTCCAATCGTGCCTATTTTCAAGGGCAAGGTTTCAAGCAGACCTTAGCTGAAGAAAAATCTATTTTTGTTCTTTCAATTTTAAAGAAAGAATGTGTTACTATATTTTTGGACAGAATTTAATGGGAAAAAAGCATGTCTTGCCACTTCTGTACAAAAAGAATTCATTTAAATGACGACATCAATTTGCTGAGCTCCTTCTAAGTAATATGTGTAGATTTTCCTAATATTAGGAAAATGTAACTCCTTAAACATTGGTTACGTTCAGAAAACTATTACCCAAGTCTGTATTTAAATAGTCAAAACATGAAAAGCAATGCAGGGTCAGCTGTTCTGCAAAACTTGAGTTTTTTTATCAAGGTCTGCTGAGTAGCAAAGTATAGGTTGCTTTTCTAAGGAGGCTGAACCAGCTTTGATTTGAATGCTCTATAAGTCAAAAAAAAAAAAAAAAGTTAATCTACTAACTCATTAGCGAACAGCCCATTCGCCATAATTTAAGCTAATAGAAGGGTTTTCCATTAACTGCTTTTTGGATCTGCTTCCCCTCCATCCTCCCTGAGATTTTCCTGAGAACTTCAGATTTCAGGATTTCAGGGTTCAATTTTGAGTGTGCCAAATAGGTGATTTTTTTTTCCTTTTTTTTTTTTTCTTTCTTTCTGGTGGGGGGTGTTTTTAATTGGCTGGCTAGAATGGTTTGTTACCACTAACAGGTAGGGAAAATATCTGGAAGCTTTTGGTGCTACTTTATTTCTGTGGTCAGACTTTGTGTCCCCCATCTGGGCAGCTCTTTTTTTTTTTTTTTTTTTTAACAGCTGACAAGCTGGTTAAGAGACTGTGCTCTTGAAAAGGTTTGAAATTGAGTAGGCAGAAAATACTTCTAAATTAAATTTCATTCTGCTTTTGTGGAAACATTCTACTTCATCAGCAAAGATGTGAAGGTTCTGGAAGTGGGACTCCTTTTATCTCTGGATTTCTGAGATTACCAGTTGGTTTGCAAGGACAAAGGACTGTTTATCTGAATCCAGGAGATGCCTAACTGAAGGGGCAGACGGTTTGTCCTTTCGTCCTTGTGCTTTGAACCTGTTTGCTTGGACAGTTTATCACTGAAGGCATTGTAAATGGTTTCAGCCCCGATAACCTGTCACCAGTACTGTACTTAAGTTATGTATAATTCAGGTCTCAGAGGCATCGTGTTGTGGTTTAACCCTGGTAGGCAGCTTAGCACCACGCAGCTGCTTGCTCCCTTCTCACCAGTGGTGTGGGGAGGAGAATCAGAAAGGTAAGGGTGTGAGAACTTGTGTATTGACATAAAGAGAGTTGAACACGTAAGGCAAGCAAAACCGAACAAGGAATTCGTTCACTACTTCGTATTGACAGGCAGGTGCTCAGCCACTTCCAGGAAAGCTCTTCATGCATAATGGCTCCATGAAAGGACTCCAAACACTCCCCCTTCCTCCTCCTTTACCCCAGATTTATTGCTGAGCGTGATGCCACATGGTATGGGACACCCCTCTGGCCAGCCTGGGCCAGCTGTCCTGGCTGTGTCCCCTCCCAGCTCCTGGTGCACCCCCAGCCTCCTCACTGGCAGGGCAGTGTGAGAAGCAGAAGAGTCCTTGGCTCTGTGCAAGCACTGCTCTGCCACAACTAAAACATCACTGTGTTATCACCACTATTATCATCATAACACCATACAAGCTACTAGGGAAAAAAAAAGTCCATCCTAACCAAAACCAGGATACATCAGGAGGCACATGATTGACTATAGTAAATTAAATGTATTTTTCATCATAGCTTTTATTACTTTCTTGAAACTTATCAGTCCAGGTTTAGTAGTGAAGCATGTCTTGTAAGAAAGGCAGAGATTTGATTGATTGATTTATTTCCTTCTGGACTGTATTCCTGCTTCAAATCTTTTCCTTCTACAGGAGAAACATCAAGATCTTTTAGAATGCAAGACAAATGGTTTGAAGTTTGATGGGAATTCTCCTTAGTAGTTTTCACAAAGCACAGTGGCAGTGTGGCAAAGAGCATCCAGTGTCCAGTTTTGAACTGAGCGAATGTCAAAATTTTGTGAAGGTAGCAAAAGCAATAGTGTCCTTTATATTTTAAGTGCAGTAGTCTGAATTTTCCAACTTGATGTGTAGTTCCCCAAGATGCTGCACTAACACTGGCTGTATAAGATTCAGTTACTTCTGAAAGAAAGCATAGCTCTTTCTAAATGTCCTGCTGGTAACCCGTATTCACTACTTCAGTTCATTGTGAATTTATATTGTTTTCCAAGACACTTCGTGCTACAGAACTTTTGGTCTTCAAAATAAAAAAACACCTTTATTTCTGCTGTCAAAAATTAACATGTGGTGTTCTGGTGATGCCGATGTGATGAAATCTTGTGAAGGAAACGTTATGCAGTTGCATTAGCTGTTGGAAGTAAGAGTCAGATCTATTATTGGGTAGCAATGATGTGTCATCACTAATATAGATGTGCTTAAGAAGGAACATATTAATGTTTAAATGAATTGGTTAATAGTCTTGGCTGGGAATCTAGGTTTATTTGCTTCAGATCTTTGTTGCCTGTGCAAGCTGAGATTGCCATATTTAAGGAAAGGTCTGACCATCTTTTAATTCCATCAATATCCATGAGATTTTAGGACTAATTACAAGAAAGACTTTAGGTTTTTCCTCACAGAATGATACTCCTTGAAGTGATCAAGCAGAAAAACCTAAGGTCTTAGGGCATGTTGCGTGCCACTGCAGCAATTATTATTCTTTAAAGCCTGTGCTGGGTGATGAGAACTGGCCATGTGTCTAGTGGATCATGGGCAGAAAGAGGAGCTTTTTTGTAGAGAAACGTTAAATTGATTTTCTGTGAATTACATTTGACAGGCAAATAATGATTCCAATAACAATTATGCTCTATCTTTCTCTCTCTCTCTCTCCCTCTCATTTTCTTTATTCTTTGTGCTCCAGATCAGCCTTTGTTTCCTCGGGTTTCTTACACATCCTTTTGTGAGCTGAAGAGGTGTCTTTTATTATGTAATAACTTTTTTTTTTTCCCTCAAGTATTCCCATGTCAATTGTTAAGTAGGAATAAGTAGCTTTTATGAGAACTTTCTGGTATATATATTGTTATAACCAGTTTGAAGGCACCAGAAAAGAAGTATTTCTGTCCCATCTGGGACTCTGCAGACCCGATGATGAATATTTCATGTCCCTTTGTAGGGAAAGCTTGTGGAACTGCAGAAGACCTGTTCTGACATCTTCTTAAAATCTGTCAAACATTTTAAAGGTATTCTCTATTTTCATTAAGGGTGGTTAACGTGATGGTAATACCATGAAAACTTATATTTTTGAAGATTCTCCAGGTAGCTGGAATGTTTAGGTAGTTTTTCTTTAGTTTATAAACATCTGAATCATATTTCTTTGAGAAATCTTTCTTGTACTGCTCTTCGTTCTCTGTTATTCAATGCCTGCTTCAGTTCAGCTACATGATTATACAAGCTAGTGTGTTAAGGGAGCTGTTGCTTGAAATTTTAGAAGGCTTGTATAATATTGCTGTGCGTGCCTGAGGCCTCTTACTGCTGTCGTGATGTTCGTGAGAATAGCTCGTCAAGCTTTTGGTGTCTCTAGAACAACACAGATGTGGAAGTACAACTAAAAATGGGTGGTATCTCTAATGAGTTAATGACAGTTGCTGCGTCCTAGAAATACTTGTTTCTAAAAGTGGTTTTTAGCTATGCTTTTCAGAGCAGTGTGATGTACCTTGCAAAATTTTCTTACTTTTTTTTTTTTTAATAATATATATTTTGAGTTCATCTTTTCAGGAACATACTTACTTTATAGCATTTTTTATATCCAGAGAATAAGCCATATCTATATGTGTGAAGTATTAACTTTAACATGGAAAGTGAGACTTAAAAAACAGCTTTCTGCTTGCATGGAGCAAGTCTTCTTTCTCTCTAGGTTTTATTGTTGGAGGTTTGTGTGTAATTGCTGAGTTTGTTTAAATAGAGCTATAAGCAGTAACGAAGTGGGTTGTGAATATAAATTAATTTGAGGAACGGCTCCTTGTCAGAAACCCCGAAGTCTTTATATAAAACAGAAATGCAAGTACGAAGGCCACACTTCAAAATATGGTATGTTCATGTTCCCACTCTATTAGCACAAAGGGTTTTTGTCTGTTTCAGGAGGTCATAAATAATTAGATGGTTGCTCTTGGAGCATATCACAGCAACATGGTTTATATGGGTGCATATATCTAAAGGGACTGACTCCGTATCTGCCATGGTGTGTTAAAAACCTATACCAGTGCTCCTTTATGAAGTAGGCCCTAATGAAGTGGGCAATGACTCCATTCTCTCTGCTGTGGGGGCCATATCTGTTCTTTAATCTCTTCCAAATGAAAGGTTCATCTGCTCTGTCTGTGATCTGATTAAATGCTCCATACAGAGGAGTATAGCTCATTTTAGATCCTTACAGAACTAATTTATGAAACCTGGCTGGGTCTGTTGCCTTCTTTAGATTTTAGGTAACAGCATCCACTGCTTCCTTTGTAATGGAGTAAGGATTCTCTGCATTTCTTGTCAATCTTCTTATTTTTAAATTATCTAAAGTTATTTTCCATCTCTTCTCAGTTTTGCTGTACTATATCTTTTTAGAAGTATTGCTGTGCCATTTATTCCAAAACTTCTTTCTCTGTAGGAGCCAGCCAGCTCTGCTTTCTGCATCTTCCTCTGCTTCACCAGCTTTTCAAGAGCTTAGATTTGCTTCTAAAGTAGTTCCTCTTGTCCTGTTCAGTCCAAGCTGTTTGGAATCTGTTTTAATTCCAAGATGGAGATGCCTTTCTGAAATTTTTTCTTCAGCTGTGTTAGTAACGTTAATCATTGTTTTATTGTAACTTCATAATATTTTCATATTTCTTTTGTCTTGGATTACTACTTAGAAATGTA